TACATCGATTAATTATTCATTGATAGTGACCCTCGTGGGCTTGGAGACTCTCTTCATGGCCCTCATTACCCTTGTGACTTACGTGAAATCTTCTTACCCCGTGGCCCTCGTTGCCCTTGTGACCCTCGATTCCCTCTTTGCCCTCATGGGCCTCGAGAATTTCCACATTCTCCTCGTGGCCCTCATTACCCTGGTGACCCACATAAAATCTTAATTTCCCCTCGTTGCTCTTATCACCCTCGGGACCCTCGTCGCCCTCGTGGGCCCCGAGAGTTTCGACATTCTCCTCGTGACCCCCATTACCCTTCGTAACCCACATGAAATCTGACCTTCTCCTCGCTGCCCTCGTGGTCCTTGTTGTCCTCGTTGCCCTTATCACCCTTGTGCGCCTCGAGCATTTCAACATTCTCCTCGTGGCCCTAATGACCCTTGTGACCCGCATGAAATCTGACTTTCCCCTCGCTTCCCTCGTGGTCTTTGTTGCCCTCTTGATCCTCGTTGCCCTCGTTGCCCTTGTCACCCTCGTTGCCCTTCGTGACCCTCATGAACCTTGACTTTCTCTTCGTGACCCTCGTGGGCCTCGAGAAATTTGACATTCTCCTCATGGCCCTCATTGCCCTTGTGACTTGCACGAAATGACACGCTAATAAAATAACGAGCCATGCCGCAAATCAAATATTCAAACGTCGCGCCGGGCCGACTGCGCCCTAAAGGCTGCGCACTATTACCCGAGAGGAGTGGGGAGCGTGTGGGAATTCCCATCTGGCATCACTGAAGATAGGAACTGTAGGAACTGTAGGAGATAGATAGGAACTGTAATTGCTCATGGATGAAGAATTTTATTAGATCTACTTTCTACGTTATTTACATGCCGAAAAGTATTTGACTTCAGAACGGAGTGTTTTCCACAAAAGTATTCTATCATTGTATATTCAGAATATTCCATGGGCTCTTATAGGTTACCGTGTGCATTCCATTTAGTTCTGCATGTCATTCATCTGGAAAAAAGGAAAACGAGAACTCATCAATCAATTTTCATCAGAGTATTTGAAGGGAGACTACTATGAGTTTTATAAGTCGCGGGAGAATGGAGTGAGATTTCTCATGAATTGAAGATCGACTATATATGTCTAAAAACGAATAATTTGTGGAATAAAATTACTTGATTACGGTTCATTTACCCCACATACGCTTAAAATGTTAAAAATAGTCCAGGGCCTCCAATTTTGAAGCAACAGAGTTTTTTTTCAAAATTTTTCTGTTGTTTTGTTATTGTGGACTGTTTTTGTTTAATAGCTGATTTATTGATATTGTTTATTTACTATGTTGACTAAGGCGTTGATTATGTCAAGCGCCTGAACAAGCTAAAATATTTAGTGAAACGTCGAATCTATAACAAATTAACGTTGTTTTTTTTTCATTTCTCCAAATTTGCCCTTGATCTTTACTGAGGATTTATAAATATGGAGATGACCAACAAAATTAACTGGTAATTGTTACTGCACCCATTTTTTCAAAAATTTTGAGAAAAAAACTGTAGCTCAAAAATAAGAGGCTCTGGACTATTTTTTAACATTTTAAGCGTTTGCGGAGTAAACGAACAATAAACAATAAATTTTTTAGCTATATATAATCGATCTTCAATGTATGAGAAATTCATTATCCCGCGACTTTTAAAACTCATAGTAGTCTCCCCTTAATATGTTCTTTAATTCATCAATTTTCATACATGGTTCTTGTGCATACACATGCCAATGGCGTGAGCTGTTTCGCATTCATTCGCTCCCTCTAAAATTTTCAAACAAATTTCAATTATTAGTTTTCCTTTGTCGAATGTTCAGATATGAATTAGTTGTGACTAATTGATTATTGAGGCAAGGGGTTTTATAATTTGATAGTGAGGGGAATGTAATGCGTACTCTCATGGTGACATGCTTCGATTACTGCCACAATCTTATCGCGATCTGGAACGTCACTTGGAACAAGTTCTTTTGCGGCTTCTACATCAACAGTGCCGTCCTCCGCCATCTAGAAGAAATGAGAAATCACTCATATTCTCTCCAAACCAGTTGTTGAATACGTAAATGGAGTAGATCTCAATAACTGACCACTCCAAGACCTTTCATGATGCAGGCACCGAAACATTTAAGTTTCTCATCAGCATTAACTCCGCCCGTTTCGTGCAGAGTTTTCAAAGCATCTAGATCGACACCGGTTTTCTCGATACATTTTTCAGCTGCGGCCGCGAACATCGGCTTCGGGTGATGTCCCAAAACCTATCGACATTAATCCATTGATAACTGAAGAATATAAGGTATTCCATGTCAAATGAGTTAACGGCTAACCCTTACCCTCTTAAAAATTGATCTCGATTTTTTCTATGATTGGGAGATTAAAAAAATATTTTTCAATTTTTTTCAGATTTTTTCAACAGTGTATTTCGGAGATAAGATTTTTTTTTGTTTTTTCGTTTTTTTTCAATAACTCCAGTTCTATTCATCCGTAGAAAATTAATTTTTTTTTCAATATGTCCACTTCTATTCAATCGTAGAAAAAATCAAGATCAATTTCCAAAAAGGTGAAGATCAGCCGTTGACTCATTTGGCATGGAGTATTTGTTTATTGATATTCATCATGTGAAATTCAATTAAAATTTGTCGCTCTTTTGTAAGATTTTCTTCTCTTGTCTGTAATCATGATCTCATACCCTGTTTGAGTTTTTTTGAAATTTAAACCATAGATGCATTTAAATTCTCAATGCTGTGAATTTGAATTCGATTTAAGATTCAATTGTTCATGAAATCGCTCATTCAGCTTGGAAACTCAAGAAAATTGGATTTTCCACGTTTGACAATTATTGATGTTGCAATGACATCTAGAATTCTCACACTCATTCCGAAAATTAAACATCACATTCAATTGAATTATCAATTGTTTGAAATTTGTTTGAAAATTGAAATTTTATAGAATGCGCAATAGATCATGAATAAATGAATTTTGAATTTCATAAATTTTACGCGTCTCTAGAGTAGAGTAAAATTTATGAAATTCAAAATTCATTCAGTCATAATCGATTGCAAATAAAGTAAAACGGATGCTGAACTTCACTCTTTGAAGTGTAACGAACATTAAAAAAAAAGCTAAAATCGTATGAAAGCTACGATGCAAGGAGCATTTTAAAGGTAAAAATAGGAAAACATTAAGTTTTTCGTGGTTATACAGGGCAAAATCGATCCGGTCCGAGATTTTCCGTAGTTATTCCCATATTCCGTCATATATCACAAACTGTTCAATGGGTCCCGAGGCCAAGTGAAGAATTTTAAATTTCACCGACGTATCCCCTTAAGAGGTAAAGGTACCCCTTGCATGGGTTGAATTTTAGAATCGTCCTCGTGGCAATAGTTATCAATTTTTGGAAATTAAAAAACTTCAGTTACTGCACAATATGATAATACAGTGATTGAAGTTTTTCGAATTCTAAAAATTAGTAACTTTGGACACGAGGACGATTCTAATATTCACCACATACAAGGGGTACTGTTACCTCTGCAGACTCCTGAGTTATAAGGTGTTGCTCGTTCGAGAGGAAGTTTAGTACTGACTACAAGGAGGGATTCTTCTGAGGACAGAAACTTGGAAAAATAGCAAGTTTTAGAAAAATTGAGGAGTGGCGATTTTTGGAAGTGCTAAATGTTGAGAGGGACATTAAACTCCGTCTAGACTGCTCTGCAGGATTAAATGGCGGTTGCGGCTTAATTGCTTTATACTGCTTTTAATTCATTTAAGTTCATAGATAAAAAATACTGTTGAGAATTTTTTCAAATTTCATGGAAAATGTGGTAGTAATTCTCGTGAAAGTGACATTGAATCTGATTTAGGGGGAAAATGGTTATGAAATTTTAAATTTTAGGTAGGATTCGAGGAAATTCATGAGTTTTCAGTGGCAGTGAGACGAAAATGTCACAATTTGATTGAATTTTCAATGGAACATGAATATTCAGGAACAAATTTAGAATTTTCCTGGTCCTAGAATTTCTCCTCATACATAATATGTTGTGAAAATTACTCACGAGAGTGACTGCAAGGGCGCAGAATACCAAGACGGTAGCTGAGGTGTTCATGTTTGCGTTTTGAAGTTGCAAAGTTACTAACTAAAGAATTGCAAAATTCTGATGTTTATATACGTAACAAGAGTAATTCTGTTTCAGTTTTTTCCGTTTTTCGCGATATGAGTCAATCAAGAGAAGGGGAACGTATAATTTTAGGTTTAAGTATAATTGGGCAATGATTCTCACAATCGACCTACCTCCTGAATCACAGGTATTCTTGTAGGTAATTACTTCCTTCCTCCAGACATTGTTTATTTACAATAAATTACGAATACGGGCGTATTGGATGAGTGGTGAGGTTTATGACAATGTAGTTGATGAAGTTAGTGCCAGAGTGGCCTTCAATAATATTGAAGAAGAAACTCATTGTGAATGATATAAAACTGGTTTACTCAATTGCAATAATTCGTTGACTCATTTGCAATTCGTTTTCATACGAAAATACAAGCCTAATACCCATTTTGGAAAGGGGTTTGGGCAATTACTACACGGAGAGAAAAATTAGATAAAAATTACTTAGGAAATCGCGAGAGTCTTTGTAAAGTTTACTGTACGAAAGGTAAGTGTGACGAAAAAAAACGTTCTCACCACGTTCTCACCACGAGGTAAAATAAAGGACCCTTACCCACGCCTTCGGCTCGGGTGGTAATTCTGCACGTGGGTACGACTCCTTTATTTTCCCTCCCTTGGTGGGAAGCATACTATTCCCGCCACGGCGGGTGCAAAGTGCACATTTCCCTCCCGCTTAGCGGAGGAGTGTCTTTGATCCTCCCAAGGGTTAAAGAACACTTTTCCCATGAGTGTCAAACACTAGGTATCAAGCCCTATTTTGTGATACCTGCCTAAAAAGTGCACTTTTCGAAACGGTTCAGTGTGTGTAAAGCGGTTGTTTTCCTTCATACACGGAGTGCATAAAGTTCACGAGCGTGCGTAAAGTGAATTTCGAGGGCGTAGTGGTTTACGCACTTGTGAACAAAAATAACCACTTTACCCCCACTACTGTTCCCAACAGTGAACTCAACAGCTATCACAAAAAATAAGATATGTTACATGTACGTGCGAAAAAGTGGAACTTTACGAACTAGTAACACCATATACTATTTCATCACAATGTGTGGCAAGTGGGATTTTGCGGATATGAAGCGAAAAATACTAAAATGAAATCTCTCCTGTACAGTAAAATTGTCCACACCGGTAAGGTTTTTCATTCTTGCACCCATTTGAAAGTCATGGGGACGAATGGAAGTGAAATTGCACTGAATGCGTTCGGTAAAAAATCATTCTCCATTACTGAAACATTATACGCAATATTGAACAATCTTTCAGGTTCAGTGGGATAATTTTTGATGAAGTATATGGTAAATTTTACAGCTTCTTCGATATAGGGTGAAAAAGTACTGGAAATCGAGCTCGCTCCACAATTACTTGCCTCAATTGCTCGGTAATTTTTCTCTTATTTTTTTCTCTATGTAATAGTGATGATTGATCAAATAAAATCGAATTCTATAAGGCTGTATGTTTACGGGAAAACATATCGATTGTACACTGTCAAAAAATTGGTGTTAAATTGACACCGATCGGTGTCCCAATGAGTCGACACCGTTTTTGGTGCGGAATTGCGGTGTTAAAATTACACCACACCATAGAACATCGCATGTAAAATCTGGTGTTAATTCAACACCAATCGGTGTCTCAGGAAGTCCACATCGGATTTTTTACTGTGTATTTTATGGTTCAATTTTTTTCAATCAACCGAAGCAAATTACCGTTCGATCTAACCTTGGACCTGGACTTGGGGCCGTCAACGCAAAGGAAAATGGTCTTCGAAAGATAGTCTGTACCATACTTCAAAGGCGCTCGGTTATTAGTTCCATTCTTCACTGAATTAGAAAGGATTAGCTGCTTCAAAGCGCTAGAGGACATGGAGAGAATAAAAATTACGATGTAAACATAGTAATCGAGGACCCATACTGGAAGAACGTACTAATTTCATTTATTTTAACCGAATTTTTGAGATGTGAAATTTCGTTTTTACAATTTAACACAGTAATTTTTAACGAACAAAACATAAAATAGGGCAGCATCGAGCAAAAAGGGACGTTTCGTGATCTTCTCTAATTGTCAATAACTTCACTTATAAATGAAGATATTTTCAATTGGAAAAGATCTCAATACGTCTCCTTTTGCCCGACCCTTCCTCAATAGGTATAAAACAATAATTGTAGCACCAATGAAATAAATTCTATTCGATTCATACATAAAATACACGGACGAGAAAATAATTTTTTTAAATGCTGAAAATGGTTAATATTTTCTCGAATTTGTATTCTTAAATGACGAGAAATCACTCAAATTATATGAATTTTTACTATGTTAAATTGAATTTTTTTCTCCGATTCAAAACTTTGGTTTATAGTCTCGTATCTCCGACATGTTACGTTACGAAATAGCCAAAATAACTATGGCAATTAGCACAAACTTCAGCGGATGACGGGAGCGTCGATTATATTCAATTCTTGGAATCCCCTCCCTTCGTCGACTGGGCAATGGATCGCGTGGCCGAATCAAAAATTCTCAAAAATTCAATCATTCCTTCCCGCCGCTTCTTTTCAGAATGAATATACGTGAGGCAAAATTATTGAAAATAATTTTCATAGATGATTAAAAAAAATTACAAATGCTTTTTCACTTTGGTGATGTAAAAATTCCCCTCGTCTCTGTGCTCTCCCACGAATACTTATTTTGAAGGAGAGGGGGCGGGGGGATATTTTTTTAACCGATGACGTAAAAAATCATGTGTATATATCCTCAATTTCAATCGTGTTAAATTAAAATTTAGGTAATTTAATGCTACAATTTTCTCGCAATTTTTACTATGATCAATAGCATTTTTTCTAACAGACTCCATCATATTTAAATTTCGTCAACTGAAGTTTTTCATTTGTTCTTAAAATTACCTTGTCCGGGTGGATTAACTTCCGAACGTTATCTTGATTTGCTCTCCCATCGTTATAATATCAAATATCTTCCATTTTTTGTCACATTTCACATGATGCAGGAAAAAAAGTAGAAAACAACTGAACATTTGAAGAGTAAAAAATAATTCTATATTTGTCTCGTGTAGTCATCATGAGATGAATTGAAAAAAAATTTGTTCGTTCTTACGTGGCGTCGGCAATCGCTTAATTGATCTTTCCGTGGCCAATTGATACCTAATCTTGCAAAACTCATCAAGGATTCAAATTAAAGTGTCTGCACTTCAGCATAATGCATGGTAGCAGGAATGTATAGAGGTCCATGGAGACGTTATGTAATGGGCTACCCTTTATGTGTGACATAAAATTTTCGATTTTATTATTTATTCAATTTAAAAATTTTCAATATAAAAGTTGATCCTGATTTTCCAATATCAGAGTTGACATTCATTCATTCATTTCCATTAATGTCTCTTCCAGTTCCATATGATAGTTGCGATGATACATATATATTTAGTAGCGAAGTGATGGAGAGATCTTGGAGCGGCCAAGGTTAAACAGCTATAATGTAAATTGAAACAGCCAAAGTGTAAATCAAAATTCAGCTCAACGATGAACCAGTTCTCTTCAAAATTCTGTAATATTTCATCAACCATATCATAATCTCTGATGTAATATTCCAATAAACACATATTATAACGTCCATTATTGTTTCTCTTTGAATTTGCTGGAAAATCCAATAATTTCTAAATATTTCCTCAGGCGCTCTTGTGTATAACCCGTCGTTCTTCGCGATGCTATCATATGTACTTAATTATAAGTATCATCCTATGCAGATGCAACCTATTATTGCAAGGAAAAAAGTATCAAGATTGTTTATTTTGTATAAGTTTCTTCTTACCATTTGCAACTATTTTCTCAGTTGTCTGTTCCTAGGCGGATTAATAAAATAGCTTCTTTCAGCCGTATAAATAGCTGGAGGATTGCATTAAGAATTAGTAATCCTCCAGCGTTTCAATCGATTTTCCCGTACCTCTTCCACAAACAAAATTGAAAAATGAACACCGTTTTTATTATATTGACTGTCTGTATTGCTGTAGTACTTGTAAGTATGAAAAATTCTGTATATTTTACGATTGATCCTAAATCATCGAGCTTTCCGTTAAAGGGTGTCACTCTCGAGAAAGAATTAAAGGATGCCTGCATTGCCGAGGAGGGTGCTAGCCCTGGTAAGATGATGGAAATAGATAAATGCCATTGTAGTCATGGACAGGGTTTCGATTCTAGTTCCAAGATACTTGTCTCTTTGCTGTCGAATAGAAGCAGTGTAATCGTTGACAGTTGATTTTCCAATTTGTTGTGTTGCAAAGAGTAAATATCATTCAACAACTCAGAACTCAGATCTTGTAGAGAACTAATACTGTTAGAAATTTTTTGAAATTTCATGGAAAATATCATAGTAATTCTCATGAGTGACATTGAATCGGATTTAAGGAAAAAATGGTTACGAAATTTCAAGTTTTAGTGAGATGGAAATTTCACGACTTGATTGAGTTTACAATGGAACATGAATATTCAGAAACAAAATGACATGAATTTCCTATTTTTCCCTGATTTTCCCTGATTTTTATGAATTTTACGGAATAATTTAACTGAAAAATGAACCANCTCTTTGCTGTCGAATAGAAGCAGTGTAATCGTTGACAGTTGATTTTCCAATTTGTTGTGTTGCAAAGAGTAAATATCATTCAACAACTCAGAACTCAGATCTTGTAGAGAACTAATACTGTTAGAAATTTTTTGAAATTTCATGGAAAATATCATAGTAATTCTCATGAGTGACATTGAATCGGATTTAAGGAAAAAATGGTTACGAAATTTCAAGTTTTAGTGAGATGGAAATTTCACGACTTGATTGAGTTTACAATGGAACATGAATATTCAGAAACAAAATGACATGAATTTCCTATTTTTCCCTGATTTTCCCTGATTTTTATGAATTTTACGGAATAATTTAACTGAAAAATGAACCACACACAGAAAACACTATGCAGATAATCCGCACAGTTATGCGGGTTTTGCACATAAGCTCCGCGAATCAATACTATGGGCGGAATCCGCATAGTTATGCATGAAATACGCATCAAATATGCGGATAATCCGCCGATGAACTATGCGGATACTTGGCACTAATTATACGTATATCGCCCATAAGAGTCCCACGGAAAAAGATAGCTGGTAATCACTGAAAATTCGAGGAATTTGGCATTGAAAATTTAAAATTCGATAGAGAAAGTGAGGAAAAAATGTCAATTCCAATTCAATAATTCTAAGGGGGAGGGAGGCAAAATGGAACAGCTGTGTTTTTTGCATTGTTTTTTCTACTTTTTCCATCGCGTTGTGGATAACTGAGGTACGATACTACTTTGCCTCAGCCTCCCCTATCACGCACGAAAAAATTTAATAGAAAATCCTAGCGAATTCGCTAGAAAATGCTATTGGATTCCTATTGAATTTTCTATAATTTTTTTGCCGTTTGTATTGACATGTTTAATAGAAAATATTATATAGAAAAAGTTAATAGAATTTCATTTTTATATAAAACTTATTCTATTTAGATATTTTCTATAAAATATTCTCGGCTCAAATTTTCTAATTTTTTTTCCTTCTATTTTTATTTTCATCCCTTCAAGAAAATCAAATAAAAAAAATTTAGAAAATTTGAACTCATGAAATTCTATAGGAAATCAATTTCTATTGGCTTTTTCTATAGAATATTTTTTATGGACCATGTCAATAGAAACGGCAAAAACCTTATAGAAAATGCAATAGAAACCCGATAGAATTTTCTAATGAATTCGTTAGGATTTTCTATTGAATTCTTTCATACGTGATTAAAAGTGATGGAATCAGGAGGAGTTAATCAAAAATACTTGTCAATTTTCAATCGAGCTCATGCGGTAATGCTGATTGCAATCTTATTTGGCGAGAACACTGAAAGAAAAAACTACGTTCGACAAGGGAGATTTACTTGACACAAGAAAATATTCTCTTGTCGATTCAAAAAATCATGAAATCTCCTGATGAATAATTTTTTTCTCACACAGAGGAAAACATCTTTCAACAGGTTGAGATTCTCTCGTTCAAAAGTAGTTATTTCTCTCAGTGAATAGCATGAATTTAATCAATGATTAGTATATTTCTAACCTAGGGAGGGAAAATAAAGGACCCTCAGCCGCCAGTGCAATTACCAGCCAAGCCGAAGGCGCGGTTGGTAAGCACGCGGTCCTTTATTTTACTTCCCGTGGTTAGAACGCGATTTTCCGTCTCGGCGTAGGCGCAAAGTCAGAGGGGAGGGAAATGTAACTTTGCGCCCGCCGGGACGGAAAAAATATTACGGCGCATCATCAAATGATCCTCTATAGAAAAACCCCTCAGATGGCTGTATCTTTGATACAGCCTTAAGTTTGCATGGATACATGCAGCATGGTCTTCCCTTGCCTTCTCCGAACAATAAACATTCAACGTGTTTTGTTTACAATGAAATAGTCACATACAAACACTCTTGATTCTGAGACGGATTCATAATTTTTTTTTCTTTAAGGAGAGATCGCGATGAAATTTGAAAGTCTCGGTTCGGCCTTAAGAGCGATTGGACGACTTTTGATATATGAAGGGATATATAAAAAAGTGAGAAAAATTTAGGACCCGAACCGTTTTGCCCCGTATATCCATCAAAAACGTCGTTTTTCACGTTTTTAGCTCAGAAATGCTCCTTGGACCACAGTTTTCATCCGATTTCAACTTTTTTTTTTGAAATGTTTGCTATACTCCAACGAACAAACCCAAGTATCCGTTTTGCTTTATATTTATCAGATAATGAGAAAATGATTTTTTTAGTTTCTATTTTTTTCCTCTTTTTTAGCAAATGCTAAAATTACTTGTTTTTCGTTATTCCACGTTGTAATCATACGTAATCGAAATATTATAACAAAAAAATGGGGGAAAACAACGAATTTTAGCATTTACTAAAAAGAAAAAAAAAAGAAAAACTAAAAAAAAATATTTTCTCATGATCTAATAAATATAAAGTAAAACGGATACTTGGGTTTGTTCGTTGGAGTATAACGAACATTAAAAAAAAAAAAGTTGTAATCGGATGAAAACTGTGGTCTAAGGAGCATTTTTAAGCTAAAAACGTGAAAAATGACGTTTTTGGTGGATATACGAGGCAAAACGGTTCGGGTCCGAAATTTTTCTCATTTTTTTATATATCCCTTCATATATCAAAAGTCGTCCAATCGCTCTTAAGGGCGAGCCGAGACTTTCAAATTTCACCGCGGTCTCCCCGTAAAAAAAATTTTTCTGAATGTTTTTTAAAACTTTAGTAATTTCAGAACACCTAAGAATTTTATTAAATTTTTTAGATATTCCGGGAATTTCTTCAGAGTTTCTAGAAACTCCCTGAATTCACTTAAAATTTCCAGAAACACCCGGATTTTTTTCGAAATTTCTAGAATCTTCTTGCATTTCCTTGAATTTTCTAAAAACTTCTTGAATTTTCTCGAAATTTCTAAAAGCTCCTTGCATTCTCTAAAATTTTCTAAGAATCCCTGAATTCCCTCGAAATTTTCTTTTCAGAAAATCTTGTCATTGAAAATTCAGAATATTGAGGAAGAATAAAAAAGAACTATAAATTTCCGTTCCATTTTTTCTTAAAAATGAATAAGAAATATATTCTTGAATTTTCAGGATACTGACTCTGAATGCGATTTAGGAGGGAAAAAAACATGAAATTTCTGATTTCTCTGGAAATTCAATGCAATTTAACACTGAATATTCATATTTGAATTCTGATTTTCCTGACGGAAAAAACGCCACCAGACATCATATTGACGTTAAGCGTAAATTACGTTTATCAAAACGTAATTTACGCTTAATAATAGCGTATAAAAACGCTCAATTAATAGCGTGTAATTACTTTTATCAAAACTTAATTTACGTTTAGGTTTTTCTGTGTGTATAGTTTTCAAAATCCTGACATTTGTCAAATTTGGATTTAAATTTCCAATTTGCATAAATGTGCAACATAACGTGCGGTTCTTTTTCCATGCGGACGTCAGAAAATATCGTGGACTGCAATTCTCATATTTCTAATACTTCCAATTCCAATATTCCAGATGCGGTTGAGAAGGCTTACCAGCGGAACGAATGGGAGGACGACAGCAAACTTCGTTGTTTCAGTGTCTGTATGATGCGGAAATGGAAACTGGTACATATCGAATGATGAATCAGTTTCAAAAAGAGATGAATGCAGGTGTAGGTCAGCACGTTGTTTACAAATTTCAGGCAGATATAGAATAGAAAATCGGGAATTCAATGGTACAAAAATTAGTACATTCCGATAATCGATTTTTAAATGGTGAACTCTAGAATTTTTCAATATATCAGTCAATATTCAATATTACATTGCGATTGACTACCGCCATGACCGGAAACGCTGACGCGGTTGTCAATGGGACTTGATATGATTGTTAATATCGCTCTTCATGTTGAAAAAATTATCGATTCATGAGTGCAATGAACATTGCTCAGCTATCGCACATAATGGTGCTCCAACTATCGCAGTAAATATCGCCGTAATTGTCGTACCATCGGCATTTTCAATCATGACGGCATGAGGAGAGACTCAGATGAAGTTATTGGGTAAATCATTGAAAATTTCTAACGCTCACTGTTCAGAAATGTATTATCATAATTTCATAATTTTTATGCCATTGAATTACTGATTTTCCATTCTATATTTCCTCACAATTTGTAAACAAGGTGCTGACGTCACCCTGTATATTTTGCATTCTATTCAATTATAGAGCAACTAAAAATTTGAAGAATCGTAAATTCTGTGGTCAAAATATTGTACGAATTCGGTAGAAAATGATTTGGATTTTTTTAGCGGTATTTCCACCGGAGAAAATGGAACATTTCTGTTGGAATTACTTGCTGTTATCAAATATTTGCATCATAAAAAAAAAAAATTCTCAGCCAATCCTAAGAATTACGGGTGGGCGGTATTACCCACTGGGCGATACAGGCACCAGCTACACCGTTAGAAATTTTTTGAAATGTAATGACAGATATAAAAGTAAATCTCATGAGAGTGACATTGAATCGGATTTAGGGCAAAAATGGTTATGAAATTTCAAGTTTTAAGTAGAATTCACGGAAATTCATGGGTTTTCAATGGGAGTGAGATAGAAATTTCATAACTTCATTGAATTTTCAGTGAAACACAAATATTCGGAAACAAAATGATATGAATTTTCAATTTTTCTCGGAATTTTCCGGAATTTTTACAGAATAATTCAACTGAAAAATCAAGTATTTTATGGATTTTCAGATCATTTGAACAAAAAACCAATGAAATATTCGATTTTTTAATGACAAAATTTCCTAAAATTTCAGTGGAACTTAAACACGTTAAAAATTTCCGGAATTTGGTACGGAAAATGCAGACGAAAATTTTTAACAGTGTATACTAATATCAAAAATTGGAAACTTAAATTTGACAGATTACAAAGCTTCCATTCAGAAGCCAAAAGAGAATCCATTTGGAAGAAAAAAGAGTCCATTTGAAAGCAAATTGCTAATTTCTTAGCAACGATAACTATACTCATTTACAAAAAATGCAATTATCCACTTGTTTCGATAGGTTGACGAGCCTGACGGTAGTTGGATACCCGAGGCTATTAGCGAATTCATCAGCAAAACTTATCCTTCTGCCAATGTGGATGAAGTTATGACAAAGTGTCCACTAAGTATAAATCAACTGTTTATTTTTTTCATTCTCTTTGGGAATGGAATTCAAATCTATCATTTTCTCATACGTTTTCAGTATTCGATGCTACTTGCACTACCTCATATCTTCTACAGAAATGCTGGGGCGATCTAAAATTGACCGAAGTTGCTACTACTGCATAACGTGGAGCTTATCATATTAATGAATGCTTCTATTACTCATCTCAGTGATTATAATTCCTTTATCGAATGAATTATCAATGACCTCATTCGATTAACTTTATGCAATATTCGATTGATACAGTAGATCCGATGTAATATTTCAGTAAATGCATATGATAAAGTCCAACGTCTTGACCCGAGTGGAAATTGCTTCAGGCCAAACCTGAAGTACGATCATAACTTGATCAGGTTTTTGTAAGGCTCGACTGATCCGGTGATTCCTGATGAGAACCTGACCAAGTTCTGATCCAGCAGATCGGATCCGAAAAACTACAGGCGGGTTCAGATCAAGTTCTGATCAGGTAGACATGATCAGATGGTGCCTGATGAGAACCTGACCAAGTTTTGATCCAGCAGATCGGATCCGAAAAACTACAGGCGGGTTCAGATTATAATGATTTTTTCTTTCGGACTTTTCTCATTACATTTTTTTAATATTTCAAATATATCAAGATCCTTCATAAAAATACTGAACGTAAGATCGTTAGGAAATTCATCAAGATAACGACTACCAAAATAACCAAGACCAATCGGAAAAGAAATAAATCATTCACTCGAACACTGGATAGATAATTATCTAGACCAAGAATCAGAATAAATACAATCAAAAATCGAAGAAGATCGAAGAATTCAACCATAGCACAAATTCGACGATAAACATATACTCACTTAAATGTAGATTTTGAAAATCACGTTGAAACTAAATTCAATTTTGTTTAGAATTGATACCACAAAATAAAATATTAATGATAGACTCAATGTTAGAAATAAATTTTTAAACACAATAAAATTCATTGCAAAACCTTTGTTTAATTAAATTTAACCAAGTGAACTGTTAGATCAATAATTCACATTAAATTTTCTTCATGAAAAATTCGTCACATAACNTGTCATAATTTTAGCTAATAATCCCTAAGATCGATCATTTTGTGAGACGAGAAAAATATTAAATAGTGTGCACAAGTACTTATCTTGGTAAATAAATAAAATGCGAGTTGCTCAGGCTCAGGGAAATGTGGGTACCCAATAAACAAAATCAAAATACGACAGACTATCCGAACGTGTGTACAGCACGACGGTCCCGAGGCGAGAGAGCGAACAGGCTCTCAAAGCGTCGTCCCTCGACCTTCGGTCACAAATAAAAATTATTTGTGTGATTGACTACTCAATCGTGAATTTTGGATTCATTTTATTCTCGTCAAAGTAGATTCCTGCAATTTTAGTTGCGAGAAATTCAATTTACTTTTGAATTCCTACAAGATCAAGTTCTGATCAGGTAGACATGATCAGATCATGCCTGATCAGAACCTGACCAAGTTCTGATCCAGCAGATCGGATGCGAAAAACTACAGGCGGGTTCAGATCAAGTTATGATCAGGTAGGCACGAACTCACCCTGATGTCGGCTGCCTGACCCCAATTTGATCAAATTCGGATTTGATGTTCTTGATCGGCATTTGAAAGGGGTCAATTGAAGAGAAAATGATCAGATTCAGATCCGCTCCACCTGACATTAATTTTAATTGAGTTTAAGTTTTTCAGATAATTTAATCAACTATTATTATGCTATTCAAATTAACTTTTATCAAGCATTATCAATAATTATTTTCAATCTTTAAAAAGGATCATGATACTATAATTAAAATAAATTAAATTAAATTAATTTAATTTATTGAATTTAATTAAATTAATCAATTTAATTAACAGCCAGCCCTTCTCAAATGTCCAGAAGGGAAGGATGACTGTCTCTTATACACATCTAGATGTGTATAAGAGACAGTCATCCTTCCCTTCTGGACATTTGAGAAGGGCTGGCTGTTAATTAAATTGATTAATTTAATTAAATTCAATAAATTAAATTAATTTAATTTATTGAATTTAATTAAATTAATCAATTTAATTAACAGCCAGCCCTTCTCAAATGTCCAGAAGGGAAGGATGATGGTGTCGTAAATACGTATTAGAGGAGTATCAAACTTACACGCAAATGATCTTGAGAAAAACAATCACTAAATGTCTATTTATTTATTAATGTTATTATTATTATCATTATTATTATTCATTAATGAAATAAATAAAAATTTAATTGAATATATTTTATCTCTGAGAATACACATGCACATCCGCGGGATGAGGAATAATCGTAAATTCAATGAATACCCCGATACAAACCATATAAGCAATGTACAGTTTACTCAATAGTAATAGCGCGATAGCCTAGTGGTTAGGGCAGAGGATTAGCAATCATAGGGTCCCTGGTTCGATCCCCAGCATCGGTAAAAAAATAATAAGCTTTTTCAGAGGTAATAACAGTAGGGATTCATTAAGAGAGGCAGCCTACGGTTGAAGAATTGAATTACTTTTTGTTTTGAATTAATTATCATTAATAATTGTTATTGATACTGACAGACAAGTCATCCGGTTTTCATACAGTTGACTTGATCAAGTTCAGATCCATTCGTCCTCATCAAATCCGGATTGGTCGGAGGCGTAACATGTCTGATCAGGATCGGATCCGTCAACTTGATCAATACCTGATCAGTGGTCAGGCCTAACCTGATCCAAACTTGATCAAGACCTGACCGGAATTTCCACTCGGGGAATTCTCTAGATTTCCGATAATCCCTCAACATTGTTAGATAACAATGCCGTATCTCTCTGTATTTTAAAAATCCAAATCCACTTCTGGTGATGAAAGTTACCATATGGGTCATCTGGGTAAATGGGTCAGATTATGAGTCACAAGATTTAGGATCACAAGATTAAGGGTCACAAAGGTCAGATTCAGAACATACCAGCTACGTCTCCCCTTGTGAACCCTGAGTAATGCTGAGTGCTCGTGAGACTCCATATTTATGGCTTACCATTCGCTTTGAATTGATTTTTGAATACCACAATAATTTCATTTTTTACTGTTAATATTTAGATGTCATTTATTATGATTTATTATGTAATATAGGGCACTTAATTCGCTCTATGAAAAAGGTTATGACGAAAATTAAACTATCTCCGTTAGATTCGGAGATATTGTACAACTCGTCTTAGTTACTGTAACGCATTTATAAAAATTTATGGAATAAAATATCAATAAGTTCCTTTGATTAGCATTATGTGATCCGCTCTGCTGCACGGAGAGAAATTCTTTAGAAAAACTCCGGTTAACCGTGGGTTGAGTTTTCTCTCACTCGGGTTGGTCTACCTACTGTCCCTTTCCCTAATTCCCAGTTAACTATAACCGTGACCTGTGTAGTACTGGCCCTCAACATATTGGTAACTTCAATAATCTTCTAGAATTCTTAGTCTGTAATTTATCATCTGTGAACTATAGTTTACCTGTGATCCAATAGATAGCGTTGAACATAACGGTTTTCCGAAATTACCCCTCGTATTGAAACCAGACGTGTCCACGTCAAAAGTCTAGTGCAGGTACGGCAAAAAATTCCAATCCACCGGCTATAAAAAATTGTAGTGCTCTTAGGGTAAATTTTTTCTGGGGATTTTCTATAAAATTTCTAGGGATTTCTGTGATTATTTCCTTCATCTCCCTTCCGACCAATAGAATTACGGTATTCGACATTCCGTGGTCCAATCAGAAGAGAATTATATCGAAAATTTTTCCCGTTCAAATTTCATCCAATAGAATTGCACTAGTCGACTGTTATTTTATATAGCCAACACGGTATTCAACTGATAATTTTGGATAATTCCACTGGTAATTTTTCATGTTGATATGTATTTATGAAAAACAAAATATTTCCTGGTGAAGTGAAACCCTCGTTAGAACTGACAAACGAATTTGGTCTCATAATGCCATTCTCTTGGCCGAAATTTGGATGGAAAATTATTTTCCAAATATTTTTACATTAAAAAAGGGGATTTATATAGCGTATATAGGGGGAGCGGGATTATTCTCGATGTGAATGACCAAAATTAATCAGGTATTTCCCTCAAGGTTCCCTGCATGCAAACAAACTCGTTAAGATTTGTTCCAGAAAAATTACTCGATCTGATTTTGACTAATCACACCCAAAAAAAAAGTACTGATTCAAGTCGACGTCGGTTTGATTCTGATCGATTTTCGGTTTGATTCAGACCGACTGACTCGGACTACGCCAATCCGGACTCCGGGTCTGATATAAGTCGATAATCGGTTTATTTCAAGTAGAAACGGGTGATGCCGACATCGGTTTGAATCAAACCGAAAAATCGGTCTGAATCAAACCGAAAAATTGAGTGATTCACGTCGAAATTCTGGCTGTTTCAGGTAATAGACCGATTTTTCGGTTTGATTCAGACCGATTTTTCGATTAGTTGGTTTGATTCAGACCGAATTTTCGGTGTGATTCATACACAGAAAAAAGTGGATTAGCTTTGGAAAAAAGTTCCTAAATTTTAGAAACCGTGGTTTCTAACCTTCAGGTTTCTAAAATCTAGAAACTTTTTTCCAAGTTTTAGAAAAAAATCGTGTAAAATTAATGATCAGAATTGAGATTAATTTTAAACCAAAATATAATTAATTTTAGAAGAGAATATTTTCTAAAATCTAAAAAATTGTTTTAATTTTTGAGAGGGAATTTCACAAAAATTTTAAAAAGGGATATAGTGATATCCGGGAGGAGGGCTTGTAAAGAGGGCGGTTCTATAAGGATGAAAAGTCTGTGAAAAATTTATGAAAGGATGGGTTATCGTTGGGGTATTTGAAAAATGTCTTCGAAACTAAGAGGGGATGTGTATTGAGAATTTACAACCAAAAAAATTGAGTCGATGAGTTTTTCTAAAATATCTAAGAAACTAAGGAAGATTGCTCATTTTTACTGACCAAGTGGGGAGTTTTCTTTGTTTTTCAATTTATTCAAATTGTAAAAATTTCAAAAATTTCAATTTCGACAAATTAAAACAAAATTGAAAACCACCCTCCCCCCTTTTTTCCGTAAAAATTCGTTATCTCCCTTAACTTCGGAGATACTTTTGAAAAACCCGCCAATCAATTTTTTTGGTTATCAATTTTCAATGCACCTCCCCTCCCCGCCCCTAAATTTTCGTAAAAATTTGCTATCTCCCTTATTTTCAGAGATATTTTGAAAAACCCACCAACTCAAAATTTTTGGTTATGAATTTTCAATGCACCCCCTCCCCAAAATTTTCGTAAAAATTACTATTTCCCTTACTTTTGGAAATTAAAAAAAAAAACACCTACTCAATTTTTTTGGTTGTGAATTCTCAATTTACAACCCTCCCTCCTCTC